ATTTGTGTCCCCAGAATTGTTTTTCCACGGAATCTTTGCTTAATTTTCCTGGATTTGTGTCCCCAGAACCTTTTTCCCACAAAATTTTGCTGGATTTGCATCCCCAGAACCTTTTTCCACAGAATCTTCACTTAATTTTCATGGATTTGTATCCCCAGAACCTTTTCCCTGTAGAATCTTCACTTAATTTTCAAGGATTTGTGTCCCCAGAACCGTTTTCCCACAGAATTTTGCTGGATTTGTGTCCTCAGAACCTTTTTCCCACAAAATCATCAGTTAATTTTGCTGGATTTGTGTCCCCAGAACCTTTTTCCCCCAAAATCTTTGGTTAATTTTGGTGAATTTTGTGTCTTTCCCCCCCTTCCTTTGATCCTTCCCCTCTCCCCCGTGGGCTGAGGTTATTCCCAGCTTTTCCCGGTGTCAAACCCTCTGATCCCTGGAATTTGGCTGTGGATTGAGTCCTTTAGTGTCCTTCCTTGCAGGCCATGCTGGAGCAATCCAAGAAATCCTCTCTGGTGGTTGCCCGGAGCATCCTCAACAACAAACTCATCAGCAAGAAGCTGGAGCGGTACCTCAAGGTGGGAATTGGGAATTCTGACGGAATTCCACGGGAGCCGATCCCCAGGGGGGCTCCTGGGGAGGATTTTTGGGATTCTGGGTTGATATTCCCAGAGTTTCCCTGTGGAAGCCGAGCCTTGGGCTTGGCCCTGCTGATCTTGGGAGTCATGGAATGGTTTGGGTGGGGAGGGATCATCCCATTCCCACCAAATTCCAAGGGCAAGGAATGGTTTGGGTGGGGAGGGACCTTGAGGATCATCCCATTCCCACCAAATTCCAAGGGCAGGGAATGGTTTGGGTGGGAAGAGACCTTAAGGATCATCCCATTCCCACCAAATTCCAAGGGCAGGGAATGGTTTGGGTGGGAAGAGACCTTAAGGATCATCCCATTCCCACCAAATTCCAAGGGCAGGGACACCTTCCATGGCCCAGGAGGCTCCTGGGACACTCCCAGGGATGGAGCAGCCACAGTTTTTCTCCGGGAATTCCATCCCAGCCTCTCGCCACCCTCCCAGTCAAGGATTCCTTCCCAAATTCCATGTAAATCCCCCCTTTTCCAAGGGGAAGCCGTTCCCTGTGTCCTGTCCCTCCATCCCTTATCCCAAGTCCCTCTCCAGCTCCCATGGAATGTTCTGGAAGGTCTCCCTGGAGCCTTCCCTGCTCCGGGTGAACATTCCCAGCTCTCCCAGAGCAGAGGGGCTCCAGAATCTGGAATTATGGAATAGTTTGGGTGGGAAGAGACCTTAAGGATCATCCCATTCCCACCAAATTCCAAGGGCAGGGACACCTTCCATGGCCCAGGAGGCTCCAGAATCCTGGAATCATGGAATGGTTTGGGTGGGAAGAGACCTTAAGGATCATCCCATTCCCACCTCATTCCAAGGGCAGGGACGCCTTCCATGGCTCCAACCCGGCCTCGGACACTCCCAGGGATGGAGCAGCCACAGTTTTTCTCCGGGAATTCCATCCCAGCCCCTCAGAGGGAGGAATTCCTTCCCAGTATCCCACGTTTAGCTGGGATTTGCATTCTGGAGGCAGCAGCTGCTCCGGGAGCTGCTCATTCCGCAGTCCCTGGGCCGTGGGAGGTGTGAATTCCTGAATTCCCGCGGCAGACGAACGTTTGTCTCCCTCTGGCAGGGCGAGAATCCCTTCACGGATGATCCGGAGGAGAAGGAGGAGCACGAGGAAGGGGAAGGAGGAGGAGGAGCCGGCGGGAATCCGGAGGAAGGAGCGGCCGAAGGAGCCGAGGAGGAAAACAAGGACGAGGAGGAGGAAAACCCGGAGGAGGAGGAGGAAAACCCCGAGGAGGAAAACCCCGAGGAGGAGGAGGAACACAAGGAGCCGGAGGAGAATCCCAAAAAAGAGGGGGAGGCAGAGGAGAATCCCAAAAAAGAGGGGACAGAGACAGAGCGGGAGCGCCGGGCACAGACAGAATCCCCGAATCCAGAGGGAGATCCAGAGGGAGCTCTCCCAGGAGAGGGGGAGCAGCAGCAAGAGCAGGAGGAGGAGGAGGAGGAGGGAAGCGAGGAAGGCCCCGAGGCCGTGGAATGAACCCGATCCCGGGGGAAGGACCCGAGTTGTGTGTGTTGGTTGTTCCGGATCCCGCCGTGTCCATGAATGTTTCCCGTCCTGGTCCCGCCGCTCCCGCGGAGCCGGGGGAGCCTCTTCCCTGCAAAGTGATATTTTTGTTCCGTTTTGGGGGTTTTTTTGGGGGGACTAGAGGATTTTTTTTACGGAATCTCCACGTTTTAGTCGCTAGTTTCGTGCGGTCTCTGTTCTTAGGTGGCTTTGTAGGAGATTTTTCCTTTTGGAGCATGTGTGGGAGCCGGAGCTGCTCCGGAGCCTCTTCCCCCGGGAACGGGAGCGTGTCCGTGTGGAGCCAGGCAGCACTTCGGTTCCAGGGGGTTTCCTCCAGGCCCTCCGTGGCTTCCCGTGACTGTGACGGCCCCATTCCCGATGTTTTCCCGGCCCTTTTCCCAGGAGCGAAGCGTTCGGTGCTGTTGACGTCGTGTTTGTTTGTAAAACGGTTTCATTTTCCAGGTCGATGTGTCGGTGGGTGGAGATAAAAAAAGGACTTATCCCGAGTTTATCCGCGGCTCTGCCTGAATTCCCGGCGTCCCAGGAAAGCCTGGGAGAGGTTGGAGCCGCTCCACAATCCCACGTTTCCGTGTTTCCTGGGTCGTTTCCCTGCGTTTCCAGCTCCGTGGTTGGAGCTGCCACCGGTTGGAGTTGTGGATTCTCCTTCCCGGAATGAGGGAGAAACGAGGGAATCGGTTTCCGTGGTGGGAAGGGACCTCAAAGCTCATCCCATTCCACCCCTGCCATGGGCAGGGACACCTTCCAAGGACTCCAGCGGGGCTGGAAAAGGATGTGGAGCTTGAGGAAAACCATGGGGATGGGTCTGGGCAAACTGAGGCACAGCCTGGACCTCCTCACCCACTTCCTGCAGCAGCTGTTTGATTTGGAGGTGTTTTAATTCGGTTTTGGGGCAAACGTTGAGGAAAAAAGCTGCTGGAAAGCTGGGATGGGGAGGGAGGATCCCGTTGCTGGGAGGGGATGGGAATTGGGGACGTTGTCACTGGGAGGGGATGGGAATTGGGGACGTTGTCACTGGGAGGGGATGGGGGACATTGTGAGGGGGTGGAGATGAGGGACATTGTCACTGTGAGGGGTGGAGATGGAGGGACATTGTGAGGGGATGGAGATGGAGGGACATTGTCACTGTGAGGGGATGGAGATGAGGGACATTGTCACTGTGAGGGGACAGAGGAAAGCGTTGCTGTGAGAGGACAGGGACACCATGGCTGTGAGGGGCTGGGGGACGTTGTCACTGAGGGGATGAGGGACATTGTCACTGAGGGGATGGGGGACATTGTCACTGAGGGGACGGGGACACCATGGCTGTGAGGG